TCACAGAGATATTTTCCTCATTGATTTTTAGAGAGAGTGGAGGAGAAAGGAAAAGACAAGAAATATTCATGTGAGAGAAAGACATCAATTGGTTGCCTCCTGCACAGGCTGGGATCAGGGCCTGCAACCCAGGTACATGTTCTTGATGGGAATTGAACCCGGGACCCTTCAGTCCGCAGGGCGGCGCTCTATCCACTGGACCAAACCCGCTAGCGGCCCAGTTTGGTATTTAAGGCCCTTTGCCACTTGCCTAATTGTAACTCCTCTGGCCTCCCCCACCCCAGACCCATGGCCACGCCCACCAGAGCCTCCCACTTCGCAAACTCCCAACACACCCCGCGGTGCCCGCCCTCCCACCCGCCTGTCACTGTGCGCACAGCTGCCACCTCCATCCTCACCCAGAGGCGCCTCCATCGTGCGCACCTGTGCATTGCGGTGGCTTCTGTCTCAGCCTCCCGCTCCCTCCGATGCCTAGCCACCCAGGAAAGGGTTGCGACCAGTACTCCATGGAAAATGGGCAGAGGCAGGAGGTAGTCCCAGAAAGCTCTTCCACCAAACCCAACCCAAGCCAAGCCGCGGGGTTCCCACCTGTCCCCCCGGAGGCCGCGGGGCTGGTCGCATCCCGTCTCTCTGCTCTGCTCTTAGGCCCTACGTGGACCTGGTGAACCTGCTGCTGACCTGCGGGGAGGAGGTGAAGGAGGCCGTCACGCACAGCGTGCAGGCGCAGTGCGAGCAGAACTGGGGCAGCCTGTGCTCCATCCTCAGCTTCTGCACCTCGGCCCTGCAGAGGCCGCCCACGGCGCCTCCCGAGCGCCACCTGCAGGCGGACCGGGCCAAGCCCTCCCGCGCCCACCACGGGGACGCGGGCACCCGCCTCTCGGAGCCCAGCAGCAGGGAGACCGGCCGAGGTGCCAAGGGCGAGCGGGGCAGCAAGAGCCCCCCAAACGCCCACGGCCGGGGCCGAGCGGCCGCCCACGGGGCCCAGGGAACTTCTGGGAGCAGCGAGTGGGAGGACGAGCAGGCCGAGTATTCTGACATCCGGAGGTGAAACCAGAGGCCTGGCTGGGAGACCGTTCCTCCACGCCGTCCATTTTCTTCTCTGTGGACATTCCAGAACATTTGCCATTGCAGAGGGGGATGCCCCGCGCAGGATCTGGAGGGGACTGCGGACTGGATGCAGGTGTGTGTTGGCGGCATGAACAGGTGCGGTGGAGACTCCCCAGGCGGCGGCGAGGTCCGGCGGGGCCCACACTTGCGCCTTGAGAAGCGAGAGCGCCACGTGCGCTCCCTGTGGCTTTGTCTTCTCTCCATCCGTGGAGCACTGGGCGCGACCTGCGGCTTCCTCTGCTGGGGGTGGCGGTGGGCACCCCCGCCCCACCCCCCGGGGCTGGATCGGGCACTTGGGAGGCAGCGGATTCCAGTGCAGGAATGGACCTGAAGATCTCGCAGGGGCTGAGCAGGGTGGAGAGGAGGCAGGGGCCGTGTGGGTGCCGGGTGCCAAGTGGAAGTGGAGTTTCTTGCATGGGACCTGGAGGTTTGGAGCTGCTTTCCGGGAGGGGAAGGCGGGAGGGTGAGGGTTCTAAGTGTACCTTCTGAGCCATTGTTCTGACTGGGGCACCCTGTCCGAGGGCGTGGCCCCTGTGTGTGTGTATTTTAACCACTGCTTCGAGTCTCGATGTCACTTTTTATTTATCTAGTTACGGCTACATATCTGTCATCTAAATAAATGGCTTTCAAACCAAGCAACTGGGTCATTAAAACCAGCTCAGAGGAAAAACAAACAAGAGGCGCAGCCCATCTTTGGGGCTGGTTGGTGTGTGTTTGTTTAAGTGCTATTTTAAAAGGAACTCCAGAGCCACGTCACTGTACATCTTACTGCCTGGTGGGGCTCGTAACCACTCAGGGCGAACCCCACACACGGAGAATCTGCCCTCAGCATCTCGGCATCTCCCCGGGACCCCCGCCAGCCTGGATGCCGGGAGGCCACGCTGCGAAGCTGGCCCCTCCACGCTGGAGGATGGACTCGCTAATTCCCATCAGGGAACACCGGCCTTTCACACACACGGAGGGGCGGCCAAGCATTTGGAGGGCCAGGGCTCTCCAGATCTGGATTGGCCGTGTTGCAGCGAGGAAAGGAGGCAGTGTGGACCGAAGACAGGCAGGGAGGAGGGCAGAACCGAAACTCCCCGGAGGAATGGATCAGAACCGTCTCTTGCAGTTGCTTCCAGTGTTTCAGACAGAGCCCTTATCTTTCCTCTGCGGACGGGCGAGAATGAAAGGGTGTCCCTTCAGCAGCCAGCCCTCCACCAGGAGCCCCGCTGGCAGGCAGGGGGCAGGGTTCTGGGCCAGTCCTTCTAGAGCAGGTCGCAAGCCTTTTCTGGACAGATCCCGAGAGGCAATACCCTGATCTCAGCTTGGCGGGGCTGCGGGTTTCTGTCGCCGCCTCTCAGCTCTGCCACGTGGCACGAAAGCATACATACCCGGTCGACACATCGCAGGCTGGGCTCCGCGCCAACACCGTGCAACAGGCGCCCAACTGGATCCGGCTCGTGGGCCTGGGTTGGCGGACCCCTGTTCCAGTGAACGAGCAAAAAAACATGCATCCCCCGTTTCTGTCAGCTCCCAGCTCGCCCTGCAAGCAGCTAAGGCCAGAGATAAGCAAACTAAATGGACCCACTCCAAAGTGACTGGCTGCAGGGAACGCCCTAACCCAGAGCACAGCTCGCGTTTTTGACCCCGATCACTGCTGCCGGGACTCGGTGCCGGAGGGTCAACCCCCCCCCCATCTTTTATGACCCGTGTTGGGTGTTTGTTGGGGGGAGGGGGGCGAATTGCTGGAGAGAAAGAGCTGGAGCTGCAGAAAGCAGAGGCGATGGTGCACTTAATCCGGCTCTGCCCGCGGGCGGGGGGAGGACCGGTGTGTCAGGCTCTGCCATGGGAACCGAGCGTAAACCGTGGCCGGCTCATGCCACGGGCCCGGCAGCACGCTGACTGTGCTCCTTACGTCACCGGGAGCTGAGGCAGCGCCTTCTCCCTCGCTGCTGGGTCAGCTGTTCATTTGTCCGCCGGCGGCTGGGCTGGACGTGCGGAGGCATCACTTGGCCCTTCCCCTCGGTGTCGACGTGTCACGTGCGGCTTCGATGGTGAACATCTGCCGTGTGTATGTACGGCCTCGGTGTCTTCCCCCGAAGGTGTGACGTCGCTCACTGTGTTCCCCTCGACCCCTGCACCGATCTCTGCTGTCTGTTCTTCCTGCCGCTGGTGTCTTCCGGCTCCACGGCCGGGTGGCCAGGCTTTCACTCTGGTTCCTCAGGCTTTGAGGCCGCTGATAGTATCTATGGCGAAGGTTCCTCTGCTCAAAACCGACGGAAGTCCGAATTCCCGTGAGCGCCGGCAGACAGGCGTGTGTGTGACAGAGACGTCAGCAAAGCCGTCATTAAAAACAGAGCCGGCGCCGGGGCTCCAGGCTCCGGACGTCAGACGAATCTTCTCCGAGCCCCTCGGAGGAAGGATGTGATTTCCAAATAAAGACGCGAGTTTATTTTGAGCGCTGCACCCTGACGGGATGAGCTGAACACCTCTCCTTTGTGTCGACCAAGAGCCCTGTTCTGAAAGCAGATGGACGACTGAATCACCTGGAAGGCTGGCACCCGGCGCTAAAGAAACAGCACCGTCCCGGACCTGCAGCGACCTCCCGGCACAGAGACCTGTGAAGGCCACCACGGGAGGCTCCGCCGGCACAACCGGGCAAACGGTGCTCCCGGCCCGTTTCCCGAGGAAGAGCCGCAGAACCGGCACCACGCGCCCCGCTGCGTCCCCATGTCTGTGTCGGGTCTGGATTCGGGCAGCAGGGCCTGGACACGGGCACACGGCATGGTTTCCTCGGAGCAGCAATAAAGGGTTCAGATAAATGGCTTCCCCTCGTGCAGTGTCATTGTCTGGGAGGGCTGCGAACAAGTGGGCCTCGGAGTCCCTTGAAAATGCCGGACACTGCCGTGGCCGGTTTGGCTTAGTGGATAGAGTGTCGGCCTGCGGACTGAAGGGTCCTGGGTTCGATTCCGGTCAAGAGCATGTACCTTCGTTTCGGGCACATCCCCAGTGGGAAGTGTGTAGGAGGCGGCTGGTCGATGTTTCTCTCTCATCGATGTTTCTAACTCTCTATCTCTCTCCCTTCCACTCTGTAAAAAATCAATAAAATATATTTAAAAAAAAAAAAAAGAAAAGAAAATGCCGGACACTCGGTTTACGGGGAGGGGAGCCAGGTGAAGGAGACCCCCTCCTTCCGTGAGAGGGACCCTGTCCAAAAGCCCACCTGGGTCACCCAGACCCAGAGGAGACGGAGTGCCATGCAGCCGGCCCGTGGCCATTAGGAGGTCCCCGTGCTCTCTCTGGTCTCACCTTTGAGCCTCCTCAGGGGCCTGGCCACCTGTTCTCAGACTGAGTCTGCGCAGAGGCCACTGGCCCGGCAGGGGAGCTCGCCGCCTCCACCCCCCCACTTCCTGGCCTATTTAGACTGGCTCACCGACTCCGCGCAAAGCCTTTTGCATACACGATCTCATCCTATGTCCCTCAGGCCGCAGGTATGATCCCCTTTTACAGATGAGGAAATCGAGGTATAGGAAGGTAGAGGGACTTGTCCCCAAACCGTGTGCCCAGCGCGTGGGGGCTCTGAACTCAAACCCAGATCGGCGACTCTAAGCCCACATACTTCTCACCACAGGCCTAGATTCGCTGTACTCGGTTTATTTTTAATTTAAACAATCCGTATTGCTCCTATTTTACACGAGGCCTCGAGAAAGAATAATTATACTCTCCTATTTATAGCACCGGCCTCCGAGGAGTTCTGCCTCAGGACAGAGAGGAAAACGGAGGCTCGCCGTCCTCTGCAAAGACGCAGACAGGGGAGAGCGAGGGAAGCGAGCGTCCCCCTGCTTTCCATGCGCCGGGCCGCCTTTCCCAGGCCCTGCTCTGTGCCGGGAGGGAAGCATGGGGAGCCGCTGGCTCTGTGACCCGCAGCGCGGCTTTCTGCTCTGAGCCCACCGGTGGCCGGCCCCGTCGTACAAGCCAGCGCCCCTGATGTCGCCCCGTCACCATCCTCACCATCGCCTGCCCCAGGAGCTGCTGGGCTTTGCAGATCTTATTTCTAGGCCCCATTTCACACATGAAGAAACCGAGGCTCCAGGGCACGTTAACCCGCCCGGAATGGGCGCCCTCTGCCCCATCTTCCTCAGCATCTTGCACCCCAGGCGTGAGAACGAGGGCGAAACAACCGCGTTCGGAACGCAGCTGCTTCCCCCCCCCCCAGCCCTTCCCCCGCTCCATCCACCGGGAAGGGGCAGGCCGTGGGGGGGCGTGGGGGTACAGAGGGCTTCCGACAGGCTGGCATCTAAGCAAGTTTCCGAAGAAAGCTGGAGCCACGCACCCCGAAGTCTGGAGACAGAAAGCTGAATGTGTTCTGAAGTCAACCAGAAAGAAAGCCCCCGCTGAGGGGGGTCGGGGGGCGCCTTGGCCCGAGAACGGGTTTTGTGTGAAATTACTTTTCGTGGGCGGAGGGGAGCAGTACCAGCCTTGGGCGGGGGGTGGGTCCGGCGTTGCTGCTTGCACAAGCGCTGGGCTTTCCTCACTCCCCCAGAAGAACACTCACAGAAAAGTCCTCCCTAAAGAGAACCGGGGGGTGAGGGGGGGGGGGCACGGGCATGTCCTAGAATCGGTGAGTGGGCGTCAACATTAAAAATCACTGGGAAGGTCTGGCTGGTGTGGCTCAGTGGTTGAGCATCGACCTATGAACCAGGAGGTCACTGATTCGATTCCCGGTCAGGGCACGTGCCTGGGCTTCGGGCTCCATCCAAAATTATTAAATATAAATAAATATATATTTAAAAATCACTGGGAAGGCTGCCGTTTTGGAGTCAGGAGGCATAGACCAACCCAGCCACTTACCTTGTCCCTCTCTCTCTCTCTCTCTCTCTTAAATAATGACTGAAAAAAATAAATCAGGGTTGGCCCTGAGACCTTGGCAAATTAGTTAAGTTTCCCAAACTGTTTCCTCAGCTATAGAATCAAGTTTTCCAAACTGTTCCTCACCCGCCCCCCTCCCCCCCAGGCGCGGAGGATCAAATGACTGGAGCTACGAGAGTGACACAATGTGTAGGAAGCCTCTGAGGCCCACGTGCCACCTACACCGCGGGCATCCTTCCTCCCGGCCGTTCTGCACGGCCTCCCCCTACGCCAAGTGCACGGGGACCAGCTGCGCAGCCTTTCCCAGGCCCAAAGGAGGTCCGACAGCCAGGACGGAGGCCCAGGTGGGGACCCTCTCGAGCTGGGAGGGGCCCCTGTGCGGCTCCCCAATGCCCTGGCTCTCGGCAGGCGTGAGTTCCAACAGGAGCCCCGGTGGCCAGCGGGCCGGGCAGCGATGGGGCAGGGGGAGCACCGGGCCTCCTCCGGGCTCTGCACACCTCGGGGCGAGGCGCCCACAGAGCAGCCAGTTCACAGCCTCCTTCGTGAGGAAGGAGCACAGAGGCCGAGGAGCCGGGCAGGAGGAGACGCGGCCAGGGCCACTCGGCTGCCAGCGCCTCGGAGCCTGACATTTGGAAAGAGCTGGCCTGGGGGAGCCAAGCGCCCGGGACAGGGCTCCTTCCGGCTCCGGCTCCGGCTCCGGGAGTGTCCAGAGGGGAGCCGGAGGAGGAGGAGGATGACTCAGCTAAAAGGAAGAGAAATGTATTTTTAAAGAGCGCCAGGATGGAAGGCACAGAGGCACGAAGTGCGGCCCCAGGATGGGGTCCAAATGCCTGCTCAGCGGAAGTGGGGCGAGTCTGCAAACAGCCAGAGCGCTCGCTGGGGTTCCCAGACCAAGAATAACACATGGAAACCAAGAGCCCCTTCTGGGCCTGCCAGGCTGCGGGCCGGGCCCTGTGCACGCTGCTCCCTCCGTTAGGCTCTGCAGATGGGGTGCGCGCTGACGCAGGAGGTGGGTAGGAACCCCTCCCAGTTGGGCTCACATTCGCCCAGCGGGCCGGGCTGGGAGCAGGCCACAGGGCTCCCCTGCTCCTTCCACCACAGAGATGCTGGGGGACCAGAGGGAAGGGAGGCCGGAGGAGGCTCCCCTCCCCGGAGTTGGCACAACTCGTCCCCCCAGCAGCCACGGTCCAGTGACCCCGATTGTAAAAGCATCATTTTGAAATCTTCAGTGGAGAACAAGCATGAGGAGGAGGAGGAATAGGAGCATGAAGAGAAGCCACCTCATGGCAGCTCTGCCTGTCCCTCCCCGGTCACCCACCAAGCTTTGGGGTCATGTCGGGGTCCCACCTCCTCCCCGACATGCACTGCGTGCAGAGTCCCATTTCTAGAAAAGGGGGCGATGGGAGGAAGAGGTCAGCTCAGCATGGCCCACGAACTGTGACCTCTCTCGGGGGCGTGTCAGCCCCGCTGGCCTGTGTACAAATCTCCCAGCGTTTGCCCAGGGTTGTTGTGAGAAGCAAGTGAGGGAATGAATGTGACGGGGATTGGCCAACTAGAAGGCGCCCCCCTGGAGGTTCAGGGAATGATGGCTCCCAAGTCAAATCTTGCCTGTGTGTTTTGTTTGACTCAGATGTTGACGTTTTTTAAAAAGCCAGTATGTACAAGCCACAAAAACCAGCTTCTCTTCAAGAATGAAAACATCTACCAGCCCTGAGCCCACATCCCCGTTCGCCACAGTCCCCACCACTCCCTATTGCCTTACACCCAACCAGCCACTCACATACTTGGCCAGAGTGGTCCCTGGTGGGCCACTCATGGCTGTATCTAGGCCACTCAGGGTCCTTCCGTTGCTAAGGGGGATATAAAGAAGAACATTCAGAAAAACCTCAAGAGTCTCAGGGAATTAAAAGATAAGGGAGAAAAATGAAAAATTCAGTGAAACAACTGGGAGATCAATTTGAGAAAATCCCTCGGGAAGAGCTGGATGATGGAAGAGAAAAGAGGAGAACGAGGACCAGTCCAGGAGATTTAACATCTGACCAGCAGGCGTTCCAGCACAAGGCAACAGAGAAAACAGGAGGTGGAGGGGGTGGGGGGTGGCCTAAGGAGCTGGCACTGAAGAACAAGAGTTTTCAGACTGAAAAGGCCTGAACCAGGACCCAGGACAGTGAGGGAAACACCCCCAACAAGATGCATTCTTGTGAAATTTCGAAACTCCTAGGGAACAAGAGGAAAATCCCAAACGCTTCCAAAGAGGGGGAAAAGTCACAGAAAAGAACCAAGAATCACTTTGGCCTTGAACGTCTCCCAGCCACTGTGGGAGCGGGAGAGAGCCTGGCAATCCGGCGAAGGAGCTCCCCACCAGGCAGGCCATCCACTCGCGGGCACAGCCCAGATGTTCCCTTCCTTGTAAATCCTCCCCCAGGGAGAGTTCCCCATTGACTTCTTAGAGAACGTGGAAGGGAGGGGGAGGGAGTGAGAGAGGAACATCGATGTGAGAGAGACACATCGACTGGTTGCCTCCCACACCTGCCCTGACTGGGGCCAGGGATGGAGCCTGCAACTGAGGTACTTGCCCTTGACCGGATTCGAACTCGGACCCTTCAGTCCACGGGCTGATGCTCTGTCCACTGAGCCAAACCGGCTAGGGCCAGATATTTCCTCAACATGCAAGGTCTCAAAAAATTTCCTTCCCAAATATCCTTTCACAGGAAGCTCCTGAGCACTGTGCTCCGCCAGAATGAGGGAGTAGCTGAGAACAAAGACATGACCCGGTCCAGGAGGCAGAGGCCGAGCGCAGGAGAGAGGGAGGGGCTTCCCGGGATGGTGGGAGCGGCGTCGGGTGACAGCTGAGCATGCAGCCCGCGGGGAGCAGGGGACAGAGAAGACGACAGGGGGCCGGCGTGGGGGTCCGGGAGTGATGCTTCATGATAGGAAACCAAACAAACCGAAAGTGAGCAGGGACTGGAATGGGCACTTCACACAAGGCGTGCAGCCCGGCCGGCGTGCTCAGCAGTTGAATGCCGACCTGTGAACCAGGAGGTCAGGGTTCAATTCCCGGTCAGGGCACATGCCCAGGTTGCAGGCTCAATCCCCGGTGTGGGGTGTGCAGATTAATGATTCTCTCTCATCATGGATGTTTATATCTCTCCTTCCTCTCTGAAACCAATAAAAATATATTTTAAAAAATAAGATGTGCAAATAGCCAATGAGCACATGGAAAAGGCCTCCTCGTTAGTCACCAGGAAAGTGCGCTGAGACTGCAGTGATGCCCACTCTCCGCCCGCAGAGTGGACCCGATGGAGGACGAGAGACCAGCCCACGTGCGGATGAGGCAGTGACCCAACTGGACCTCAAGTACGTTGCCAGCGGGGACACAACCGCCACCCACCGCTGCTTTAAAACACTTTTTGGCCGTTTCTTAATCAAGTTAAGACGTTAACCTGTCCTCTGGCCCAGCAAACCTACTCCCTGGGGTATGTCCAGAGATATGAGCACACACAGACTCAGAAATACCAGTGCAAGAGCATGCGGAGCAGCTTCACGCCTCGTAGCCCCAAACCGGAACCGGCCCAGATGCCCATCCCATCGGATGGATAACCAGAGTGGGATATGTCCACCCACAGACTATGGCTCTGCATTGAAAAGGACTGAACAACTCATGACCACGTGGCTACATCTGAAAAACACGATGAGCTGCACCTAAAGGTTGTCGGTTCGATTCCCGGTTGGGGCACATACCTGGGGCTCCATCCCCAGGAGGGAGTGTGCAGGAGGCAGTCCATTGATGTTTCTCTCTTTCCCTCTCCCTTCCTCTCTCTCTAAAACTCAATAAAAACATATTTTTTTAAAAAACATGATGAGGGTTAGAAGCCAGGAAAAAAAAATACATGTGGTGTGAGTCTATTTACATAAGATTCAAAAACAGGAAAGACTAATCTAGAATGCAAAGCAGTGGTGATCTCGGTGGGGGGAGGGGAGCGGCAGGGAGAGGCAGGAGTTAACCGACAGGGACCCCAGGGAGGCCTCCAGGTGACAGGCAGGTCCTGGTGTCACAGGGATGTCACATGTAAACGTCATGCAGCCGGGCACTCACGACAGCTGCGTTTCGCTACCTGTAATTTATTCCTCAATAAAGCACTGAACCCGTCGAAAACCAAACAAGCCCCCAAAGATGCCTTGTTAATCCCATGGAACGTAAGAAGTTATATTAGAAAAGAAAACGTAATCCTGGGGCACGCCACATACTACGGACTTAGCTCGGTTGTGAAAATAACTCCCCGGTTGTAATAATGGATCAATACACTACACAGGCGTTCAACCAGACATCTGTGCTGGCAGGAGGAGCAGGAGGGCGGGGCTGACTGCAGCGGTGCGTTGGGGGAATGAGCACAGAGAGCTAAACCCTACTATTCTGTAGGAAGTCAACAGATCACGTCAAATCGAATAAACAAGAAAAACGCAGAGAGGGGTGCGATTCGGTCACCTGGAGGCAAATCCTAGGAGAAGCCGCTCAAGGGAAGCAAGTGGTTGTCTCTGGGGAGTAGAAGTCAGTGGCAAAATGGTGTGGGGCAGCTTTCGGTTCTGTTAGAATTAGATTTGGCAGAAAAGAAACAGAAACCCCAAATAAAATCCCTGCATTAAGACAGAAAAGTATTTCCATTTCAGGTGAGAGTCTGGAGACAGGCAACTCAGGGTTGCTCCATGACGTTCTCGAAGCCTTGGGCTTCTTTTTCTCGCTGCTGTACCATACTCGGCCTCCAGTTCCAGGTTACCTTAAGGTGCAGTGTGGCTGCTCCAGCTCCAGCCATCAAATCCACATTCCAACCAGTAGGGACAAAGACGGAAAAGGCTGCACACCTGCTGTCCTTTTAGGATGTCTCCCCAAAGCTACACCACCTCTGCTTTCATCTCATTGGCCCAGACGGAGTCCCATGGGGACCCCTAGCTGCAAGGGAAGCGGGAAGAAACCATTGCTATTCTGGAGAGCCATGTGAGGACAGCCTCTGACAAAACAAAAAGAAACAGCAGGAGCAGCCAACAGACAAAGCGAAGGGCAGCTCTGCCCCGTGGATGAGCCCTGCAGGCTGCCCTGGCCTTGGGCGCACACCTGGGAGAAAACACCACCTCGGGCCTCCCTCTACAGCTGGGAACCAAAAGTGGGACCACGGGAGGAAGACTGAGAAGCGGATGGTGTGCGCGGGGTGTATTGGGCGACGCACACAGGACAATAACCCATCCCGGGCCAGTGACCCCACGACAACAACCTTGCAGGCGGCCCGAGCTCGGAGATCTTCCCTGGATATCCACATCGAGGCCAGTTTGTGAACGGAGAGCGCTGCCCAATGCCCCAGAAAGGGGGAAATCGCGATCCCTCTCTTACAGATAACGCAACAGGCTCCCAGAGGTGAGGTAACTCCCCCAGGTCACAACCGAGGGGCTGGGGCCCAGCCCATCTCTCTCCTCCACGGGACAGGCATTCCTCCAAGGAATCCGGGCGGCCACCCACAGCCTTTGGATTCTCTGCAGGGCCGCAGTGGGCCTGTCAATAAGTCACAAGAAGCAATGAGTCATCTGAAGACAAGATAAACAACAGGGAGGCCCGCTGGGAGGCGCCTTCTGCCGGCGGAGAGTACACAGTGAGCAGGCAGGAGCCCCCTCGGCAAACACCAGCGCAGCAGTTTGCAGACAAAGAGAAAGTGCTGCTCCACTGGAAATGGGCGGCGAGCTCAGCTGCAGAGTTATTTCCATCCTGAAAGGGCTTTTGTCAAGCCTGGACCAGGAGCCCGGCATAAAGGATTCCAAACTTTTCCTCCCGGTCCCTCCAAAGCCAGAAGGGAAAGTCCTTCTAAGCTGCCATGATATTTATTTGCTGCCTCCCATCTGAACATCGCAAAATGCTTCCCTGATATTTCTGGATAAAACTGCAGGCACTCCCCGGTGCTGTTGGGGCCGTCCTTTCCTCTCCCTGCACCCCAGTTCTCAGGGGAGACGAGGATGGCTCTTGGGGAGACGGAGGAGATTGGGCAGAGGGCAGAGGGCGCGTCCTGCCCCCAGAACCCGTCCTCGCCAGGCCTGTCTGGATGCAGTGAGCTCATGGGGACCAGCCGGAGCCCAGACAGCCCGACAGGAAAGTGGCAGGCGGATCAGGGAGAGCCAGGCAGACAGAAATAAGCGAAGGGCAGGGCAGGGCAGGACGTGTGGAGGCCGGCAAGAGAGACCAGCCCAGGGCTCAGGGACAGGGCCCTGCACCTGCAAAGACTCGGTCAAGGTGGGACCCCGCCCCCAGAAAGAATCCGCCCTCAGGCAAGGGGTTCAGGTAGAGCTCGTCAAGGCTTGGTCAAGACAGCAAGACTGGAGACAGGCCTCTGGGCTCCAGGTCAGAGCAGGTGACGTAATGCTGACTCAGCCAGAGGCCTCAGAGGAACTCTCCTACTCCCCGTTGAGGCGGCTTCGAAAGTCTGGGGACCGGGCACCTTGGAGGCAAATTGGGAAGCAGCATGTGCAAGGGGTAGGCCGCTTGCTTCAGGCCCCCCCACTCCTTGCTTACAAGGTCCTTCTTCTCCAAATCGCTAAAGGTGACCTTCACACCAGCCCTGAGACCCTGTGGCAACACCGCAGACAGAAGCCTGGTCACCGGTGACCCTGTCCGGGACATTTCCAGCCTGAACGGCCTTCTTAATGTGAGTTTCCCCTCTGACCCAATTCAAAGCTTCTGTTGTTATTTTAAAATGACTTACTCTCACTCCACCCAGCACCCAGCACAATGTTGTTCAGTCAGAAGAGCTCAATAAATATCTTTGTTTTTTACTTGACTTGAAAAGAATCTGGTTAAGGAGATTTAAAAAGAGCTATTTGAAAAAAATGAAAATACACGAATAAGCACAAAATTATGCCATCCAAATACAAGTCGTAAGTCCCAAGGGAGCAATGCAAAAATAAGTGAACCAGAGAGAAGGAGCATGCGCCGGGGAAGGCTACTTGGAGGAGGTGAGTTTTGAACCAGTTACAAGGAGAAATAAGAGTTTGGGCTTACTTATTAGAATTATTTTGGTTTCAAGCAACAGCAATCTAGAAAAAGGAAGAAAGGAAGGAAGGAGAAAAAATATAGGGCACTGCATTGGCTCAGACAATAGGATGTAGGCATGGCTGGATCCAGGGCCTCAAATGATATCATCAGGAATCTGTCTCCCTCCATTCTGCTTTCCTCTGTGATAGCTCCATTCCTAGACAGGCTCCCTCCAGGGTGGCTTCCTGGACTTAGATCCTAAAGCTTTGCAATTCCACCAGGAAGACCATGCTTCTCTTTTTCTAGTTTTTTTTTGGGGGGGGGGGGGAGGGAGGGTTGGTTGTAAAAAAAACAAAAACTGTTATTGTAAAGAAATTCTGGAGGGGTTAATTTGTTACTGC